AGCCATGAAGTGAATGATCAATTTTATCTGTAGGATTGTTGGCCAAGACACCGGAAGAAACCACCTTCTCTTTTCAAATAATATCATGGGATCATCTCTACGATGCAATAAAGTGCTATATCAAATGCAAGGATTATTATTATTATAAGCTCACCTGAACAGGCAGATTGGCATTGGGTTAATGTCTCATCCAAAAGACGGCATCTCTGACACTTCAGCAGTCTCCTAGCACTGCATTGGAGTGATAGCCAGACTGTGAGCTCAAAGTCCCAATTTGGGGCTTGAACCTACAACCTTCTGACCCATAGATAAATACCATTAAGGAAATCCATTAAGTTTTTCTCCAAATAAAACCACTCTATTTTAAAACTCCAGGCCTCATAAGTTACTAGCAGGTGACTCTAACATTAAAAGATGCTTAAAGAAGATGTGCCGATTTGTTAAAATCGATTTGATTGTGTTATGATCTTGAAACATGTTTACATAAAAACAGTTTCTCTAAGCAAAACATTGACTCTTGGCGACATTTATTTAAAAAGAAACATTGGAGGACCGTGAATCAGCACTTGGAACCATTCCCAGAAACTTTAAGATATAATGAGGCAAAAAAAAAGGAAAACATTTAGATAAACCTTCTGATGTGGACAAAATGGGCATTCTGGAATCAACTTGTTTCCATGAATCCATTGATTCATGAACCAAAGAAAAGATTTGTAAAAGGTCCTGAAATTGATGCCAAATGACCTGCTCAACAAGGCCAAGCTCAACGATGTTCAGTTTCGAGGCATCAAGCTTGTGACTGGGCCCTCTTATTTAATCGTTCTTCACAGTATTTCAGCTGGGAAGCTATAATAATGTGCGCTTACTTTCCATCAAAGTATCATAACTCCCGAGATAATTATCATAACGCAGGTCACATTTTGCGTCGTGTGATGTACAGCATTGCAAAATTAATCATATCAACTGCAGAGATCTCAAAAGTAATTACCCATATGAGCCTGGAGCCAAACGTATAATTTACTCAGCACCAGCTCCCTTGACCAAGTGGGTCTAATATGGGTGAAAGAAACTGAACAGTCTAAAGACAATGATGCTTACATTGTAAATGACACAGCGACTTACGCACTGTAATACTTTGATCTGCCATTATCCACTATTTCTAATGGATGAGTGCCAAACATTGGGGCTATTCTGCATGGATTACCCTTAGATGTGGTTACAGTGGAAAAAGATAAGAGCTGATCAGCCTGCAACAGATCATTTTACCCAGTTATGCAAATTTGTGTAATGCAACACACTATCGCACGTTTGGACAGAATATTTTCCCTGTAAGTGCCAATTATCCATCTTATATTAAATTGTTGTTTACAACTCAGCAATCTGTAACAAAGAATCTTTTTTTACTCAGCTGGATGCCTTGCAGACGTGATAAGGCGCTATATCAAATGCAAGGTTTATTATTATTATCTTCCTAATATGGATGCATTAAATCAATTGTAAGGATTATTACTTATTATTATTACTATTATTATTATGGCAGTTACCTGAGGCAAATGGATAATCTTCCTCTGACTCAGATATAGAAGAAACAAGAAATGCTACGTATTCAGCAAAGAACATGCCACAGCACGTAAATCATATAAGACTCTGTTTGTGTCCACTGGGATGACATTATTTAAGTATTCAGTGCATTCCAAATAGTGTTAAACAAGGCACTGCATGTGAAAGGCATTGTTGTGGTGATATATGATGGGAAGCAGGCTATTTTAAATCATCATATTAAAAAAACGGGGAACACAAAAATCAGCATTACGCACCATTGTTGGTACCACTTTCAGAAGATCAGAAGGTGAGGAGTTCAGAGGTTCAAGCCTCATATCGGGATTCTGAGCTCATAGTACAGGCTGACACTTCAGTGCAGTGTTGGGGAGCTCTACTTTGCCAGAGGTGTCGTCCTTCAGAAAAAAAATAAGCATCCTTTTACCTGTTCAGATGAACTTTAAAGATCCCATGGCACTATTTGTAAAGAGAGTGGAGTTTCTTGCAATGTCTAGGCAACAGTCCCCCAGACATAAAAGAGGTCATTGACTTTATGATTGTTTGTGGGTCATAGCTGTACACAAATTGGCTGATGTGTTCACCTACAAATAGAGAAGGCATGCTGTACCAAAAAAAATCCATGAAGCACTTTGAGGCATTTCGACATGATATCAATTGAGTCAGGCTAACACTTCACAGAAACTATGCACTGACTGCTTTTTCTATTCTGGGCCTGGGGCTGAACTAGAAACGATGCTCCAGTGGTAACCTAGAGAGTTCAAACATAGCTTAACCCCCGCCTTTACTATCAACAATTCTGGCTTTTTTCCATGTGTTGATCTGTGCGTGTCTGGATTGTGTAATGTCTAGAAGGGGACCAGGGGGAATGAGTCCAAAAGGCCTTTATGAAAGTAGATGCAAAAATTGGAGAGATACTAAATGGTAAATATGGCCAGTAGGTTTTTATTTTAGCATTAGTTGCACTGTTTGGATTGTTTTTCTTATGTTGGCAATGGAGCTGCTGTAAGTGAACACAATACAGCAAATTGAATTGATATACCCCCTTCATATAGGATACATGTTTCAGACACCAATTCTTATTATGTTGTCATAATTCTTAGAGTTAATGTTGAAATCCAAGTAACATTTCCCAAGTAAAGGGAAGGAAGTAAGATTGCGTTAAGCACTACACAGTGCAGTTTAATGACGTTAAGTCTCTGACTCCCATTCATTTTCAAACCAGCATTGATTGAAAAAATCCTTGAAAGTGTGGGGAATCCAAAACAAAAGCAGAGACTGTGCAGCGCCTCAATCAGTATCTGACGTTTCTGGAGGAAGATTCTGATTTAAGGTTTCAGGTGTCACCCTGCCTCAGAACAGTGCAAAAAGGGCTGACAATCACAAGTGACAATCACGCGCAAACCTTTAGATACTGTATGTGCAACACCAACTGTTTTTGTCAAACAGCTGTATGACACATATGTGGAAACCCGTCGTAATGTTTAAGAGTATCCAGACCAGACTGAAAGTTCCACATACTCATGCCAACTATGCATGGAAATTGTTGCAAATCAGCTTTGTTCACACCTCTCCCTCCATTTCCTACTCGAGCACCTCCATTCTAGATTCCACACTGTCCACTACAAAGAGACAGCATTCGTCAAACTCCGACTCCCTCTGCCTCCTTGTCCTCCTGGACCTCTCCCCTGCATTCGACACAGTCCATGTCATTCTCATCCACCGCCTCTCCTCCCTCATGCACTTTATTGAGACCACACACTCTGGTTTGAGTTCTACTTAATGTTTTTTTCCTCCTGCCCCCACCTAGTCACCTGCAGCAACTCCCAAGCTCCATCCTTGGCCCCCTTCTTTTCCTTATTTACATGTTCCATCTGGGCAATGCCATCCACAGACACAGGGTCAACTTAATATTATTATTATTATATTCTGCTTGTCCACTTAGGATCACCTTTTCTTGCAGGGTTAACCAGGAGAACTTTGGTTAACCAGCCCTTTGCTTGAGGGTTAACAGGAGCCATGTGAGAATTATTGTTACCCTCGGTGACTGTTCCAAATCCTGCCAAAAATGTATTGACCAGTCTAAGGACGTAAACAGGGGCAGACTGGGTACATGGGAAATCGGGAAGTTCTGTTGCTCATTCTAAATGAAAAACAAATGTCTTTCTATCTCGTTTTTTACTGAGAAATGTTGGGTGGGTTTGGTCAGCTTTGGTTCAGCAAACATGGAAACACATCATCATTCTTAAGACCTCCAAACCAAGCTACTCAGAATTCATATGCATGTATGAATATGTATATTCCGCTTGTCCGGAATGAAAATGCATACTCCTCCCTTCCCCGGGACACACTTTTACTAAATTACCGAGAGTTTAGCTGCTGGTGGGGTACTGCTGGGGGTTAAACACCTAAATAAAATAATATTAATCCTTACATTGATACAGAGCCTTTTACATCAGAATGATATGTCAAAGATAAGTAATAATAATAATAATAATAATAATCCTTGCATTTGATATAGCGCTTTTCATGTCGGGAGGACATCCCAAAGTGCTTCACAGAACAACTATAAAGTGAATTGACTGTATATTTGTGGGCGAACGCGGCAGCCAATTGCACACAGCAATGTCCCACAAACAGTCGTAGATTGAAAATGAACAATTTATTATTGGTTTTGGAGGGATTATTATTAGGCGTGTGGAGTAAGGAAACTTGCCCAAGGTTTCGCCCTCTGCCTGGAATTGAACTCAGGTCTCTCGCTTGCAAAGCGAGTGCTCTAACCACTGAGCTTCAGGACTCCACGTAAAGTAAAGTTTACAAGTACTGTAAAGTGTAGTGACTTTGCATTTTGTAGGCGAATGTGGCAGCCAATTTGCTCTCAAAAATGTTTCACAAACAGCCATGAAGTGAGTGATCAATTTTATCTGGGGGATTGTTGGACAGGACACTGGGAGAAACTCCCTTCTTTTTTCAAATAGTAACATAAGATCATTAACATCACTTGAATAGGCAGACAGCATTTTGGTTTAATGCCTCATCTTAAGGACAACACCCCCAACAATGCAGAAAACTCTCAGCCCCGGAGTGTCAACTTAGTCTTAGTATGAATTCAATCAAAGTCCTGAAATGAGGCTTGAACCCACAAGTTCTGATACCGGCAGGAGTGCAACGAATTGAACCAACAGAAAGCACTGACAGTAACATTTCAGCTAAAACTGAAATGCTGCAGGACACCTCAAAGAGTTAACACTCCTTGAAAATCACAGTAACCCAGCATTGTTGGGTCAGCCCGTCACATAAAAAGAATGCTGTTTGACAAGACTGAATGGATTGATTGAGTGTCTGAGAAAAACAAAACTAGGACACATCAAAGTAAATTACCCAAAGGCAATTTCTGTTGTGATCAGCCTTTCAGTGTAGTAGTCATTTCCTGGTTGTGATGAAACCACTCAGAACAGGTGAAGAGTATCAGACAGAAAGCACACAAAAAGCTGTGCGGGGAGTGAACAATTGTCAGTTACGATGATTCTTAAGAATAAATTTGGGTTGATAACTGGAGCGTCGCAAGGACTAGGAAAAGCATTTGCTGAAGCCTTATTGAAGAAAGATGCAAAGGTAATAAGAGTGGTGTCTGTATACTGTAGCTTTAAGCATTCTGTGACACTACCCTGCATGAGGGGCACTGTATAAATGCAAGTTGTTGTATATAGTTGATGTTTATTATTTCTTGAGAGTGAATTTCAGAGTAACAAGCGGAAAGATGGAAACATTGGTGCAGAAAAGGTCTGAGTAACCATTCTTTATAATAGGTTTGAAAACTTGTCCTTCTTGTTGAAAGTAATGGAATTTCATGTGTACATAATAATGAGATGTCACAGTTTACAGTCTAAACAGTTAATGTTTAATAATTTTTCAACTTCCCAGAGATAAGCTATGCCCTTTTTTATCTGTTAAGCACACTGGGACAGGGAGCTATTATCAGGTGTAGGTTATTATTAGATATATACACAAATTCAGCCATGCAAGAACAACACACATGAGAAAAATGTGTAAGCCTTTACTTTGTCTTTAAAAAATGTCTAATGAGATTCCTTTTCTATCCCTGACACACAGGAACAGAAATCGTAGCAACATAAATAAATGACTTCACTGAAGCAGCTGAGTCAGTTTAGAAACAAGCCATCTACTGTCCATTCTGAAAAATTACAAATGCTATATCTTTGTGCGCATCTTAGCTTGTGCAATAGCTTCAGAGCAGCAAGTGAGCTTCAGAATAAAGTGCTCAGTTGGGGGTAGGTTATAATAAATAATAATCTTTGCACCTTATCACATCTTCGAAACGTCTCAAAGTGCACCATAGAGGAAACTGTAAAGTGCATTGACTGTATATTTTATAGGCAAAACACGGCAGCCAATTGCGATTGCGCACTGGAGTGTCCCACAAACAGTCGTGGGTTGAGTGACCAAATTATTATTTTTTTAAGGAATTATTACTCCAGGAAAGTGATCTGCCAATTGATTAACAACCAGATTTCTACTTACATCTAAGTAAACAGAGGGGGTGGAGTAAGGAAACTTGCCAAATGTTTCACCCTGCCCAGGAATTGAACCCAGATCCTCTTGCTTGTGATGCGAGTGCTCTAAACAATGCGCGACAGGACTCCATAAGGTTAGGAGGGAAAACAAACCTGACTTTTTCTCCAAGTTGTTGAATAAGATCTTCACTTCCAAAAATAATTTAAATAAATAATAATTTGGTCACTCAATTCACGATTGTTTGTGCGAGACTTCCGTGCGCAATTGGCTATTGTACTTCACCCACAAAATACACAGTCAATTCACTTCACAGTATATTCTGTGAAGTGCTTTGAGTCGTCTCAACAACATGATAAGGTGCTACATCAAATGCGAGGATTATTATTATTAACTATTATTAACTTGGATCATTTACATGCACTGACCAGGGAGAAATTCCACCATAGTCCAGATTTACCCAGGGTTCATGCCCCATGCACGTTGGGATTTTGCTGTCACTCCAATACAGTGCTGTACATTAGATGAAATATTAAACCAAGATCCCGTCTGTCTGTTCAGATGGATGTTAACCATCCCAAGGCACTATTAGAAAACCAAAAGGAATTTCTCCCGGGGTTCTGGCCAACAATCCTCTGTTTAAAATTAGTCATTTACTTCATGGATGTTTTGCGTGACATTGCTGTACACGACTCAACTGCCTCATTCACCTACGAGATACGCAGTCACTGCACTTTAAAGTAAAATTCCTGAATAAGTATTTTGACCACACGATGAGGTACTATGTCAAATGCAAGGATTATGACACTTTTACTCTATTTATGCTGCATTTCTCAGCATTCAGAATTTGGTCAATTCTTACACAGCCTTAGCTTAAAAATTGATTTTCTGTAAGTTCTTTTGAGAATTTCAGAAAACTAGCTTCAAATTTAAGATTAAATTGAACAATTTGCCAGGTTCTGAGTGCTCTGAGGGAAGGTTTTCTTCTTTCATGTAGAAGGATAGACAAAATTATCTTACCAATATCAGAGCAGTTGCTAATGCCCCTCTATGATTCCTTCTGAAGGCATATAATAGATTCTTCTTCCAAAAAGAACCTGAAGAAATTTTATCCCTGTTACACTAAACATTGCATAGAATCGCATAGAACTTTGCAGCACAAAAACGGGCCATTCAGCTCAACTAAAATTTGACGGTTTTGATGCTCCACACAAGCTCCCATCCTAATCACTTCTCCCATACCTTATATTGCCTTCTCCCTTCTGAATGCATCAATTTTCCATTCAAGTACATATATGCTTTCTGCTACAACCACAGCTTCCAGTCGGAGATGTATATATTTTCATTAAAGATTTTTTTTAACTTAAATAAACCTTGCATATGACATAGCATCTTTCACACCAAGAGGATGTCTCCAAGCCTTTTACTGTAAAGCTGTAATTAGTTCAATTTACATGTTTTTTACAAAAGGATATCATCAGTCAAAATTTATTCTTCACCTTCTAGGTAGTAATGATGGATATCAACAAAAGTGAAGGTGAGGCCACGAAAGCAGAATTTGATAAGAAATATGGACCTGGTAGAGCATCATTTATCTCCTGTGATGTTACGAATCAGATCCAATTGAAAGGTCAGTACGAATTAATTATACTTTTGAACATCTCTTTGGGTAAAAACAAAATTGAGCTAATAATAATAATCCTTGCATTTGGTATAGCACCTTATCTCATCTTCAAGACGTCTCAAAATTGACAACAATTACATTTCCCCATCAATTTTACATCAGCTAAATGTATTTGAATGGCGCTGTGAGTGATATTAATCTTTTTTTATTGATGGTATTCATCTTTTCTGATTGGTATAGCATCTTTCACGTAGTGAGGACAGCTCAAAGTGCTTCACAGGATTTATCTAGGACTGTATTTTGCAGGCAAACATGGCAGCAAATTTGCACACGGCAAAATGTCAGCCCAAAACCAGTCATAGAATCATAGAATGTTACGGCACAGAAGGAGGCCATTCGGCCCATCAAGTCTGTGCCGGCTCTTTACAGAGCAACTGACTTTTATTAACCCCACTCACCAGCTTTCTCCCCATAACCCTGCAAACCTGTCTTCTCCAGATACCTATCCAGTTCTCTCTTAAAAGCTGTTATCGAATCGGACTTCACTGCCCTTTCAGGCAGATCATTCCAAATTCTAACAACTCGCTGAGTGAAAAAATTTCTTCTAACCTCCCCTCTGCTTCTTTTGGTAGATATCTTAAGACTGTGACCACGAGTCACAGACACACCTACCAGCGGAAACAGCTTTTCCTGTCGAAACCTTTCATGATCTTGAAGACCTCTATCAGGTCCCCGCGTAACCTTCTCTGCTCTAATGGGAAAAGTCCTAACTTTTCCAGCCTGTCCTCATAGCTAAGCTTCCCCATTCCTGGTATCATTCTCGTGAATCTCCTCTGCACCCTTTCCAGTGCCTTAGTATCCTTCCTGAGGTAAGGTGCCCAGAACTGGACGCAGTACTCAAGCTGAGGCCTAACCAGTGTTTTGTACAGATTAAGCATAACCTCCCTACTCTTATACTCTATGCCCCTACTAATGAAGCTCAGTACACCAAATGCCCTTTTTACTGCCCTATCTACCTGCTCTGCCACCTTCAATGAATCGCTTACTTGAACGCCCAGATCTCTCTGTACGTTCACCCCCTTAAGATTGAGCTACCAAGCCTATATTGCCTCCTATCATTTTTCCTACCTAAGTGTATCACCTCACACTTATCTACATTGAAATCCATCTGCCACATGTCAGCCCATTCCACCATTCTGTGTATGTCTGCCTGCAGTCCGTCACAATCTTCTTCACTATTTACTACCCTACCTAACTTGGTATCATCTGCAAACTTGGAAATAGTGCTCCCTATGCCCAAGTCCAGATCATTAATATATATTAGAAAGAGCAGTGGTCCCAATACCGATCCCTGGGGGACACCGCTGCACACCTCCTTCCATTGCGAGAAACACCCATTAACCACCACCCTCTGCATTCTGTCACTCAGCCAGTTCCTAATCCAAATGGCTACTGTCCCCTTAATACCGTGGGCCTCCAGTTTTTTTATTAACCTCTTATGCGGTACTGTGTCAAAAGCCTTTTTAAAATCCATGTAAATAATGTCCACCGTATTTCCCTCATCAACCCTCGCAGTCACCTCTTCAAAAAATTCTATTAGATTTGCCTTTAACAAATCCATGTTGGCTGTCTCTAATTACCTCGTGTTCCTCTAAGTAGAGATTTATTTTGTCCCGGATTACGGTCTCCAGTAGCTTTCCTATTACCGAAGTTAGGCTGACTGGCCTGTAATTTCCGGGCTTGTCTTTCTGCCCCTTTTTGTAGAGTGGGGTAACATTAGCCACTCTCCAGTCTCTTGGCACCACTCCTGTGTCCAATGACGATTGAAATATAATGGCCAAAGCCTCCGCTATTTGAACCCGTATCTCCCACAGCAACCTTGGGTGAAACCCATCTGGTCCTGGTGACTTATCAATTTTGAGCCCAGTCAATCTTTTCAGAACTTCCTCTCTGTCTATAGTAATCTGATCTATGTCCTCTACCCTGTCATCCAATAATGTGGCATTTGGGGCATCCGTTTCCGTTGTGAAGACAGATGCAAAGTACTCGTTTAGTACATCAGCCGTACCCTCTGCCTCCACAACAAGGTTGCCGTCATTGTCTTTGATTGACCCCACCCTACCTTTAACTAACCTTTCTTCCTTTATGTGCTTATAAAATATTTTAGGATTCCCCTTTATGTTACCCGCTAACCTCTTCTCATGTGATCTTTTAGCCTGTCTTATCGCTCTTAAGATCACTCCTGCATTCTCTATAATGCGCTTTGCTATCCTCAATGTCTTGCATCCACCAATTGTTGTACGCCATCTTCTTCTTTTTCATCCTAGACAGAATATCCCTGGTCATCCAAGCAGGCTTGGTTCTCGCAGATTTCCCTTTTGTGGGAATATATCTATTTAGACCCTGAGCTATCGTATCTTTGAAGATTTCCCATTGCTCATGAGTCGTTTTACCTGCCATTCTTACTTGCCAGTCCAGCAACTCTAGGTCCCTCTTTAACCCACCAAAATTAGCTCTTTTCCAGTCAAGCATTTTCACCCTTGACCATACTTTGTCCTTGTTCATGAGTAATCTAAATCTAATAATATTATGGTGACTGTTACCTAGATGCTTCCCTACCGAAACTTGTTCAACCTGTCCTACTTCATTCCCTAGGACAAGATCCAGCAATGCTTCCTTCCTTGTAGGACTGGAGACATACTGCTCAAGAAATTTTTCCCTTACACAGTTGATGAATCTTTCTCCTGCCTTGCCCTTAACGCTGCTATTTTGCCAATCTATATTGGGATAATTGAAATTCCCCATTATGACATGAAGTGAATGACCAATTTTATCCAGAAAGAGGGGGTGGGGGGGTAATTGCTGCCCAGGAAACCAGAAGAAATTCTCTTCAATTTTCAAAAATACCATGGGTTGTCTGTTGTGAATGGTATAATGCTAAGCATGGTATAGTGTACCTTTCATGAGCTATCATATTAGAAAGCTATGATAATAGCTTCAACAGAATAATTAGTGGACATCCTAAATTGTTGTCAAATTGTTATTGCATAGAATTTAAACTTAAATTACAAGAATGTTAAGAATAGGAATGGGGCAATAGGTCCAAATGGACTGTCTCTTTATGACTGTCAAACCCACTCACTTGCCTTCTCAATCTATCATGAACAATCAACACAAGAGACGTCCAGATGAAGAAGGTCCTTTTATCCATTTGATCTCATTGTTTCAGAGTATCCAGCCTGCCTCCTGAGGCACCTCACATAACCTAACTCTCTTGCAACCACCATTTGCTTCCTTCCATTCAACCAGTTCAAATAATGATAATGTGGTCACTCAATCCAGGACTGTTTATGGGACACTGCTGTACGAAATTGACTGCCATGCTTCACCCACAAAATGTACAGTCAATCCACTTTACAGTATCTGGGTAGCGCTTTGAGACATCTCGAAGACGTGATAAGAATCTGTATCAAATGCAAGGATTATTATTATTAATATAAATTCATACACATGTTTTGCCCTTGATACCCAGTAATTTCAGTTTATAAAGAGGATTTCAAGAGTTTCTTTGAAAAAACTCATTTAAGAAGTCTAGATTCACCATGGCTTCCCACAGTCATTTTGGGATCTCAACTACTCAAAAAAGTCAATGAGATTGGTCTCTCAAGATCTAACCCTTCTGAACCAGTTGGCAGTCATCCACTAGGTTATTTTTAATCAAGTAATCATGGGTCGGGCAGGCCAGAGGCTAATTAACCATGTAACATACATGGTCTTTCTGAAGGATATCTTGGGACAACCTCCCGACGTGAAAGGCGCTATACAAATGTAATTTTTTATTGTATTGTATGTTCAGCAACAGAAAGAGATATCAGGAGTAAGCATGTTAATCTTTGAATTAACTTGATAGGCTTTTAAAAAATGCATATGTCACACTAGTAACTTTACATCACAAGTCAAACAGAAAAGCAAATACCAGCACTGATGCATAAGTTACACACTCCAGCTTCATAGGTCATAAAATCTGCATTACAGAATGATTCACAGACAAAATTAAAGACACCTTGAATAAAAATAGCATAAAAGAGCTCTTTCATGCCTGAGAGCAAATCTAATTGAAATGATCCACGGTGAAATCCAATCAAAGATTCCTCAGAATTGATAACGCTCACTTTCGATTTTAATTGAATCGTGGATTGCCCGAATCCTATTGTTTTCACGAACGTCTGTGTACAAACAAGTGCTAATGATTTTGTAGACCCCAAATAAATCAGATGTCTGAGATGCCCTGCCAGGGAACCATCAGGGAAATCAGTTGCAATGAATAGATAATTTCCCAGACCGTAAGGAATTCAATGTCACTGATGCGTACTAAAAAATCCACCAGAGAGATAAATCCAATGAACTGACAGTAATGTAAAATACGTGGAATTGTTCATTTTATTTTGGTTACGGGCAACGTTTGTTACTCATATTAAACTTTTAACTTTCTCTCTGGTGATACTATTAGCTGAGATTTCACTTGCAGTTCATGCATAATTTAACTTAAATCTAATTTCTGAGTTTTCAATGTAATTTTACAGCATCCATCACTCGAGTGGGAATGACTTGTCTCTGTGAAATACTCAGCATTGACTATGGGCTCAATCATCCTCCTGTTCATGTGTCAAAACTGTATGAGTGAAATTAGTTGCATTTCTTAATGCTTTTGATGTGATAATTATTTGCAAAAGCAGTCTAATGTGGGGTATTGGCAAAAATGACTAACTGTGATTTCTGAAACATGTAAACTTGTAAAATAACTTCTTAGTTTGTCTCACAAGAAATGATCCAGGGAGAAATGGGCCACAGGGAAATATATTTTAAAAGGAAATGGAATTTTAAAATATAAAAATTAAGTTCCTGGTTGATTCTTCCCATAGTTATCATTGTTAATAAAAATAATTCTTGCATTTTACATACCACCCTCATCAAGACATCTCAAAGAGCTTCACAGGATATTACTG